TAATATTGATATAGGTTTATGGATTTGGTGCTAAATTTAATGGAGTGTTTTCACATGTTTATCCATTGAATAATGATTATAAAAATGTAAGATTTCAATATCTAATTATTAAAATTTTAATTACCTAATTAATTAATTGTCTATTAATCATTTATTATTTATTATCTATTATTATATAGCCTGAAGTTACAGGTGTTGTGAAATACTAACTGCATATTTACAAACAATGAATTCTGTTGAATTTCATGAACCTACAAATTTTTTTTCCTGTATGTTGTGTTGTTGTTTCATTATTTATTATATCATATCAATATTATATATTATATTATATATTTATATTATCTATATTATTAATAATTACAGATAATAAATCACACAGCCCAAAAAATTAGGTCAGAATTGGATGTTGGAAATAATATGGTTTATTATGTATTGCTAATAATTACAGGTAATTTAAACTTTAATCTTTATTCATTGAATATTTTATCACAACAAATTCATTAAATAAAATATTTTTAATATATATATTAAATATAGATGGTGTAATCACAGGTAATTATAATATATTAAATTATTATTATTAATCATACATAAATTATTATTAATCATATATGAATTATTATTAATAATATTTTATTATTAATAATCTCATTACTTTAGATATGCAATCAACAATAAGAGCAATAATCAAAGCTAGTTCATTACCTCTATCAATAGTTATTGTCGGTGTGGGAGATGCTGATTTTACCAATATGCATATATTGGATGCTGATGATGTACCTTTAACTGTATGTACGATTTTGCAAAGATCTATACTATAATATCTACTATATATTCTTATTCTATTTATTTTTATTTTATTCTAGGACGTCAATTCTCGAATGGAAAGTGATATCGTACAATTTGTGGTCATGAAAGATTTTCAAACGGAATATTCAAAATATTTATTACCTAAAGAAGTTTTAGAAGAAATCCCTGATCAATTTTTAGGTTATATGAAAAGAAATAGAATAAGACCTCGTCCTCCTATTAATAACGAAATTGTTCAATTAATTGATAAAAGCTACAGAACCAATAATGATTATGGTAATGCTAGTAGTGTAAGTGGGACTAGAGATGATGATATCCCTCCTGCATACAGTACGGAACCTTTACAACAGGAACTTAGAAAATCTTAAATTTTTTCTTAAATACTAAAAGAAACTATATGTAAAAAATTTTATTGGTTCATGATGCGTTACAGCCAATCAGAATTTTTCATTTTTATAAATTTGTATCTCAAATTGATTTACACATTAATATTTCCTTTGTAAGGTTCAAATGAAATAAAGCTTTATCAACCTTGAGATTTTTTTGGTTAGAAATTTTTATTTTTATATTTAGAAAATAAAGTTTTATTAATAGCAAGTACTATATGATTCTATTCTATTCTTTATTCTGTGTTATTTTTATTAATATTTTCTTCTGCTATTATCATTATTATCATAATTATTATAATTATCATATGTTCGTACTTCAATCATGGTTCCATAGAACCTTACGAAACAAAAAAAAAAAGATTGTTCAGTGTTTCACGAAAGACAATTAATGATGTTTCGGATGATGTAACTAGTTTTACAATGTGGTCTGATATTCTTATTACATTTTCATGTGATCCAAAAAAAGAGATCAACAAAGACCTTTTATCCACTTAATTCATAATATTATTTATTATACATTTTGATATGATTTCGATAATATAATTTTTTTATTTTTGTTGGAGTTGAAGATAAACTAAAAGAGTTTAGCAATATGAACATAATAATCAAGTCAAACTGTGATTTATAATTACTTTACAATTTTGATGAGAAAAATGGTTTAAAAACAAAATAGGAAAAAGGAAATTCTTTGGGAATGCATCAAAGTAAAAGTTAGCAGGTTCAAATATAAAAAATATAGTTCACTTTGGATCTTAGTAAGCGATAAATATTAAATAAAAAGTGTAAAGTATGAATTAATAAAATTATATATTAAGAATTTTCACAAAAGAAAGAAGTTGTTATTGCGTTATAAAAAAAAATTTTCTAAAAACTTTATTTTCCATTGAAGAATTGTCAAAATATTTTTATTATTTAATTGATTTTATTATTTTTATTATTATCATTATCTTGAAATTAACTAAATTGAATTAGATTGAAAAATTACAATTGAAGAAATTAAAATCTTTTGACATGGTGAATAAATAATAATTATAAATTTGTTTATTTTCTTTTTTTTAAATTTTTTAAATAAAAATTATTTATTAAAAAATCAAAAAAAAAAAATTCATTCGGAAGTTAATCCTCAATTAATTAATTATTTATTTTACACAGTAATTATCTATTTCCTTTAACATTCTGATGCAATAAAATTTTTATAGAAAAATTATAATGTGAAAAATTAAAGAAAAAAAGAACAAACCAACTTTAATTTAATTTGAGAGTCATTGTTGTTGTTATTATTACAATTATATATTAAATCTTTGATATCATATGCTTGTCTTTGATACTTAATTTAATAATCATGCTAAAAATATAAAAATCAAAATAAATATTATATGATATTCTTTCATTAATTAAAAAATTGGATCAATTATATAACATTTTACCAAATAATAAATAAATCACTATTTGGCTAGTTGTTATTCTTCGATAAATAAAAATGAAAAAATATTTTTATTTCTCAATCATTTAACAATTAAAAGAAAATATTATACAGATACAGATAACATCATCATTAACATTATTAAAAATTCCCATAATTCTATTAATTAAAATCGTATTAACATTTAAAAATTTAAATTTTGGTCAGAGAGGTATTTGATATTGTAATTTATATTTTAACTAATGTAAAGAATTATTTTACATACATAATTACAAAGCAAATTATAATAAAGATCATGCCACAGATAACTTGGATAATGAATTTTTTTCAACTATTAATGAAATTGAAATAATAGCATATTTTCGTATCCTTTTTTATTTGATTTAAATTAGATATTTTATATCCTTCCAACGAATTTAAAATATATTTTATGTATTACTTTTAATTTCTCCTTGAAATTGAATCCCAAATTCGCAAATGTTCTTAGTTGTTTGTACTTATTTTCTTACATATTGGCAAGATCTTTATTATTTTATGGATTCGTAAAATATTCATTTTGCAATAAATTCAAATTTAAAATAATCTCTGTTTTAATCTTAAATCTTAAAAAATAATTTTGATACAAAATTGTGCGAAAATAAATATTTTATTTTTTATTTTATTACCCAATGAGCTATTTTTTATTATTTTTTATTTATTTCGTTTTCGAAAGCACGAAAATTATTTCCTTTTTCCAAAAAAGTAGCGATTTTCTAAATAATAATAAGTATATTATTGTGATGATCAGAAGTTTCTAAGAACGTTTTTTCGAGAACATAATTAGTTATATATATATATTACTCCGAAATTTCTAAGGAGAATTTTGTTTGTTTATAGAAAACAATAAAATTCTGAAAGGTTATACCTAATGAATTTTCCAAGGCGAAACAATTCTAGAATCAACAAATAGAATATTCCAAGACAATTTCGACATAAATAATTTTTATAAAATGGAATTATGAAAATAAAGAATTTCAGTAATACTTGAAATCAGTTGAAGGAGGGATAGTAATGCAATATTAACTTGGAACAGCAAAGATGAAAAGAAAGCATTCTAGTGGTACTTAGTCATGGACAATGTAATCTTGGATATAAATCCCATATAAAAAACTATTTTGGGCTGCATAATTATATCATTAAATTCCAAATTAAGATTAATTCATATGGGCTAATTTAATTCGTGTTCGCCTAACCACCAGACAAAATTATTATAAAAAAATGAAAGCAAAATTCGCCGATTTACAAATTAACGGATATAAAGAAGATCGCTTTAATTTGCAAATAAGTATTTAAAACCATCATTTTTAGTAATTTTTTAATATCGTGTCAAGGATAAACACATACCTAAATAGGTAACCTTCTTACTTCAAATGGTAAATTTCTTGATCGTGATTATGGGAAAGCCAAAAATCAGCCAATATGAAATTATTATTAATACAATAAACTTTTTTTCTGTAAGAATATAAATAAAAATATAAAAAAATTAATATATAAATAGACGAAGATATCTTTTTAAATAAATTTAATTTGGTCAATTCTATCCATTATATAATAAAATCTTTGAACCATATAAAAAAAAAGATAAAATGTCTAAAATAAATGAAGCGCATTCACAAGTAGAATTAAAAATGCATTGCACAGAATTAAAGATCTCAGATTATCTATCAAGGAGTAACGCTCAAGTATTTTTATTAATTAAAGATCAAAAGACACAAAATTGGACAAGTTCATGTTCTACCGAAGTAATTAAAGGCGATTCAAATCCTTATTTTGTTAAAAGTATGTTAGTAGATTATTACTTTGAAGAATTACAAGAATTAAGGTAAATTAATCTTCATATAACTTTATATATAATTGATATTTACATAACATATTAATATACATAAATATACGTTAATATAATACATAATTTACATATTAATATAATAAATTAGATTTATAGTAGTTCACGTAAATAAACCAAATCAAAAAGAT